CGGTTGGTTTGGACCAGCGTGTCTCAGTTCAGCATGCTTTCGATGAGTCCGGTCCAGAAACATTTAAAGGAGCGCCTGACCTGCTGCTCAGGTGGAGGAACGGAAACACCTGGTGTTCACACCTTCCTTCCTCTACAGGACATGTTCTAACCCGGTTCGGTTCCGCTCCACTTCAGACCCACTGAGCAGGATTTTAACTTACTGAGCGATTTAACAACTGGACAATGGAACACCGGACCAAAGGAGCAGAACCCTTTGGATGGGTCCGGTTGGGTCCAGAACCCTTTGGTAAATGGCTGCACAAGGTGTCGACCTTTTCAGCTCTTCATGCTGCACTTGGAAAGTCAGGCTGTGTTGTCCAATCAGAGCGTCTCGTAGCAGCCAATCAGAGGAACGTTTAGCTTCTGATGGGAACTGGACAGAAATTAAAACCAAATCAAGTTCAAGGTTCATTTTGAACTGATCTGGGTTCTGCTTCTCTGGTTCAGGTTCTGGTTCTGGTCTACCTGTTCAGCCGGTCTCCTGGTTGCATTTCGTCCTCAGATGAACGATGGACGTCTCATGGCTGTCTCTGCTCATGATGGCCGCCATCTTCGCCACCTCCGTCCTGCTGGCCGCCGTCTGCTTGGACTGCGGCAACAAAAGTCCTCTGGGTGAGACGAAGCGCCACCTCACACATTAAGACATGGCAGAGATTACTTCCTGTGGTTTTACAGTCGGACCTCTGAAACCGCGCCGACACCAGAACTATGTGATGTTTGACGTGTCGTTGTGTGTCTGCAGCCTCCATTAGCCAGACGGCGGCGTCAGAGGAATACGTCCCGTAAGTCTCCTGTCTTCTGACCCGTTTGGTTGCGGTCCAGAAACACCACCAGCTCATCCAGCTTAATGCTTTTAGTGGCAGCTCCACATGAATGGCACATTGAGTGCTTCTGATGCCACTGACTGTAAATGTTTCAACTGAAGATCACGCTTTAGCTTGCAAACTTTTCCTTCCACTCCTAACTCAACATTTCTCTGTTCACTGCGTTTGTCCCTCCGTCTGTTTTCCTGCTAGCTGATTGATCAGCGTCCTTCTGCCACTCCTCTTCCTCCTCCTCTTCTTCCTCATCGTAAATCCACATCAGTTTTTCTGCTTTTCTTGTTTATTCCTCCAACTAGCAGGTCAGTGATGTTTCCATCACCAACCTGATAGAAACATCGACTGAAATGCTTTCCTGGCTATGCTAACCTAGATTAGCAGTTAGCTTAGCATACCTTAACGAGTAGCCTAATGTACCTTAATGGTTAGGTTAGCATACCTTAACGGGTAGCCTAACGTACCTTAATGGTTAGGTTAGCATACGTTAACGGGTAGCCTAATGTAGCTTAATGGTTAGGTTAGCGTACCTTAACGGGTAGCCTAATGTAGCTTAATGGTTAGGTTAGCATACCTTAACGAGTAGCCTAATGTACCTTAATGGTTAGGTTAGCATACGTTAACGGGTAGCCTAATGTAGCTTAATGGTTAGGTTAGCATACATTTCCAGCTATAACTCAAATTCCCCTATAATGACGCCCAGACGAACAATTCAGAGTCAGGAACTGGTTTTTCTTGAAAACAGAAATTTTTGCTGCTTGTGACTTGATGCTTTTGATGACATTTAAATCAATTATTTCCATTTAATGACTGAATCAGTTTTAATAATCTAGAAAAAACCGGAACAAAAACAAAAATCTCTTTTCTTTCTGTCAGAAGTTCTGGATTCATTGTTGTCCATCCATGTGAGTTTAAAACATCCATCCATCTTACATCCATCCATCCATCATCCATCCATCCTAATGATGTTTTCTCTCCGGTCGGTCCAGGTGCCGGTCAGGCCCGGCTGGACCAGAACCTGGTCCACTCTCCCTCCACCCTGAAGCCTCAGTGAGTGTCTTGTCTTTAAACCAGATCAGAGTTTAGTTGGGGTTAACACGCCAACAGTCAGACAGAATGTTTCTGGTTTCCTCAAATGAAAACGGAGGCCCTTCACATTAAAAGCCTTTATTTCAGATGAAATCTGTTTTTGTTTCCTTCAGCCCGATCCCTGCTGGTCGCGGTTCTGGCCAGCCGCTCCGGCCCTACACACCGACAGAAACCGGTGGGTTGGTTCTTCATCAGGAACCGTTTCTCTTCATGTGGGCGTTTCTCAGCTGATGTTTTCCTTCCACAGAGAGCAACCCGAGTTACGAGAACCCGGCCCCGGGTAAGCGCCGCCATCTTTCCTCTGAGCCAGATTAGAGACGAGGCTGAGCGGCGGCGGATGTTCTCTATCTGTTCATCTGCAGACCACAGCAGGCACAAGTTTTATGAGAGCGATGGAAACACTCTGAGCCGCTCTTAAAGAACACGGCTCACTTTCTAACCCTCCTCAGTTTAAACCAAATATAAACTGATTTAGCTTCAGTCTAAGCCAGTGTTTCTCAACCTTTTCGGGCCAGCGCCCCCCCAGCCCTTATCCAGGTCCCTCACCGCCCCCCACCAAAAAATTTGCAGGCTA